TTTTTATTAATTTTTATTATAAATTATATTTATTTTATATTTTATTAAGCAGCTGCTGATATATTATAATTAAATAAATTTAAAACTTATTTTAGATTTCAAAGTAATTTAAACAGTAATATTATTATTAATAAAAGAAAGTTTAGTATATAATATAAAAATATTTAATTAATACTATTATATAGTTTTTATTTAATTCTTTTATATAAATATAATTAAAAATAAAATAGTTTAATCTAAAGTTTATATATTTAATATATATTTTATTATTTTTAAATATATAGTTTATAAACCTATATAAATTTATATAATAAATATAAATCCGGTTTTTCTGATAATACTATTTAATATAATTATATTTTTAATATTTAAAATATTATAAAAGCTACTAATTATACTTATAATAATTATTATAAAAATATTTATTATAATTAGATTATTAAGTTTAACTACTAATATAAAAAACTTATTTTGATTTAATAATAGTGTAGCTACGCGGCTACACGTGAAGACGTGAAGACCTCAAGATCTTGATATTCCTTGATTGATTGATTGATTACAAGTGTACGAACGTGCATGCCTATAAATATGGCAATGCAAATACATAAGGAAGGAGCCATGGGATAGGTGGAGACACAGAGAAGGAGAAGACATGGAGAAGGAGAAGGAAGAGATGTGGAGACATTAACAAATAGTTTTCTAAAGCTGTTTCTAGCTGATATATATAATTTTAGTAAATATTATAATTAAATAATTAGTATTAATATTTTTAATTTTTTTTATTAAAATTTTTTATTATTCTATAAGATTTTTATAGTTACTATAATTAATATCTATATTTTTTAATTTTTATATTCAGGTTAAATATTTTAACTTATAATAATTATATATAAATAAAATATTCTAGATTCTTTAGATTATTAGTTATAAAAATTATATTATTATTAAATAATATAAAGTCTATAAGAATCTTATAATAAATAATTATTTTATTTTTTATATTAGTTATATTTTTATCAATATAATTTATTAAAATCTTATTATTATAGTATAATAGATTAACTATAATATTTGCAGTTTTTATATTTATAAATAATAAGATTTTTAATAAAAATTAAATATATTAATAAATTATTTAAGTCTACCGACTTATCTATAATATTAATTATATTAATTTAGATTTTAATAAACTAATTATTTATATATAATTCAAAAATAATAATTATAATTATATAGTAAGTAATATTAATTTATAAATATATTTTAAAAATTATTATTAATAATAAAATAGCTGCAGGTCTATTAAAATCATTAATAATTTTGATAACTTTAATAATTTATAATTATTAGTTTATTTATATTTGAAAAATATTTTTAATTTTTTTAATATTCTTATAGAGAGTTTTAACTGAAAATATTTTAATAATCTAATTAATAAAATTAATAAGATTTTTAATCAGCAGAAAAAATATTAATTTTAAATAAATCATTATTTATTTTTTTTAGTTTTTTAAATTACTTAAAAATATTATTAATAATTTTTATATATATTTATAAATTTTTATAGCAGTAGTCGGCCCTAATTTAAAATTATATCAACTTTTTAAAAAAAACTTAAATAACAATAAGCTATTATATAACTATAAAGACTAAAAATATTATTAAAAAATATTAAATTAATTAAAAAGAAAATTAGATATAACTTTTTCTTTTTTCTAATTAATAATTTAATAGTGGCGTGCTGTTTAGTATAGCTGGCGCGGTTTTACTTGGCTTCTTAAGTTAATTTATAATAGATTATAATAGATACTATTTTTAAATATTTAATAATTCTAATATATATTTATAGATATATTGGTTAAGCTTTGGTACTAATTTTAAGAAACAGTTTAAATATAGTTATAATTTTATTTAGACTTAAAATTATACTTTAGAATATCTAAATAAAAATAAAGGTTTTTTATATTTTAATTACTATATTAATAAGCCTGTTTAAGTTGTTATACTATATTAAATTATAGAATAATTATATTATAAATTAAAAAATTTATTAAATAAAAAAACCTTATAATTGTTTAGCTTTCTAATAATAATTTAAAGATTTTTATTAATTTATTAGTATTATCTCTATTAATAGATAAAATCTTAATAATTAATTATAAATAAGTTTTTTTTAATTTTTGATATAATATTTTTAGTATAATATTTTGAGTATTGTATTTTTGGTATAATATTTTGAGTATTGTATTTTTAGTATAATATTTTTAGTATGATATTTTTAGTATAATATTTTTAAAAGGTTTCTTCGAAGGTATATTATAAATTATAAATCTATTCTATTTTGTATTATAAATTAAAGTAAAAAAGATAGAGATTTTCTTAGATTTAATTTCTTTTTTCAATATAAAAATAAAACTATATTGATATAGTATATTTCTATTTCTATTAATAATTTAATATTTTTATAATCCAATTATAAAATTTAAACTAATTTTCTTTATTATTTTAACTATTTTAATTCAAAAATAGTAGCTTATACTTTTTAAATATCTGTCTTTATTAAATATATTCTGTTTAGAATAAACAAAATGTTTTAGAGTAATTTTTTAAGAATTTAATAAATTATATGATAGTTTTCCTTATATAATCAAAAATTTGAAAGATTAGAAATTATCAAAAACTATTTAATATAGTAGATATGCTGGTTAGACGAGATAAATAAAATAATTTAAACCAAAAAAATAAAAAAAAAAGTTAAAAATAGATTTTTTAATTTTAAAATTATTTTTAGAAAATCTTCTCTTCTAAAAGATTCTAAAATAATATAATATAAAAAAAAGATAAGTAATATAATAATATAAATACTTGGATTAAAAGTTTATTGAATTAGTATCAATCTAAAAGCGGGCTGCCATTATAGTAGATATAGGCTGCTGTAGTGGGATACCTGGTATTATATAACAGCTAAAAATATTTATAATTTTAATAATTTATAATTCTTAATTTATTTATAGTTGAAGAATATTTTTAATATAACTAAAATTTTTATAAAAGATATTTATTATAAAGATTTTTATAATCTAACCGGCGAAATTAATAAGATTATTAATTAATAAAGAAAATTAATTTTATCAAGCTATTATTGGTTTTTTTTTAATTCTTTAAAAATATTATTAATAGCTATTATATATGTATACATTTTGATAATAATAATCGGTCTTAAGTTAAAACTATATAAGTTTTCTAAAAAATATTCTAGAAAATATTAAGCTGCTATATAATTATAAAACTAAAAATATTATTAAAAAAATAATAAATAAAAAAAGAATTAGATATAATTTTTTGTTTTCTTAAATTAATAATTTTATAGTCGCGTGCTGTTTGGTGTAGCTGGCACAATTTAAAATGTTTATTATATTAATATTTAATATATAAATAATAATAATATAAAAGTCATAAAAATTTTTATTATTATATATATAGAATCTATAATATCATAATTTATATATAAATAAATAGTTTTAATAATTTTGTTTATATTAACTAAATATTTTATAAAACATTTAATAAAATTATTTTTTTATAAATCTATTATAAAATTAGATATAATTTTTTACTCTTTCTAATCAATAGTTATGGGTAGTATGCTGTTTGGTGTAGCTGGCGTAGTTTTGCTAGTGGTTACAGATGAGGGATAGTTGTCATTTGGCTCCTGCGACGTGCATATAACCAATATATAATTAAAATAAGTTATATATTAGATAGGCTTAATATATAGTAATTTAATATTATAAAATTATAATAGTTATAATAAGTACTTAGAATTATATTAGAATCTTAAGATCTTTTAGGGGCCGAAGATTATATATTAGAGTTTATTAAAAGCCAAATAGTATATATATTAGGATTATTATAAGAGTTTATTCTATATATAAATCCTTACCTTAGGATAATCTTTCAGTATATTACCTTTATACAGGATAAATTACTAGCTTCTTTCTTGGTTATTAATAGTCTTAGCAGTTACTGTAAGCCCCGGTTATAATGATCACGCTTATAACAATGCTTGGCGGCCTACTTTTTAAGCCAGTTATATTATCTTTAGAGATGATAAAAGTAGGGCTTATATCTTACAAAGTGATATATTGATTTTTTTTCTATATACAAATATTGTTATAAAGAAGTATATATCACATGCGGTCATGTGGAGGTACTCTTATTGGCTAGAAAATAACGATATTTGCCTATAATGATGTCAAGGTCTGTAACGAATTCAATCGTTATAAAGGGGGTTTACAGTACGTGGAGTGGATAAGATTCACGCGACCCTTCCCGAAGGGTCACGCGACCTGTAGCCATGTTTTGCTAACTTGCTTATATGACCGACTTGCTTACTACTTACATTGTAACCTACTCCGCAGATTTTACGACTTGTAATAAACTAAAACAATATTTCAGCACTGAAGACAAATGTTTACATCAAAAATAGATATAATAATTAAGAAGTATAAAATAAGTAGTATAGTCACCTCAAACGGCGATCAAAGAGTTTTATTGATATCTGAATGATTTTACAGGCTGTGAAATTTGTGGCGAGGAAGAGTACAGTAGAGAGATGGTAACCTCGTATCTTTTAGATAAGGATACTAAAGTTCCGTAAGAAGTTGTTCTCTTGTAAGAATAAATTATAGTATCTTAGACGCTGATATATTGCCTCTCTGCCTATGTAGAGGCCTAAGAAGTGGGTGTAGAAATCACAAGAATTAGTTTACTTCAATAGACTTCATCTCGGCATTCGTGAGTAAAGATAAGGTCTATGCTGACAACTGCATGAATCGAGTATGAGTTAAACACCGACACATTCAATTATAAGGTTCCAAACCCATGTCCAGGCAATAGGGTAAGAAGTAAGAATTTAAGTCAGCAAAACACGATCAATACATCCATCGGACGATGATTCTTATGCACTGCTGTTGATGTGTTGTGTAATACATATACAGCTAGAAGACAATCGCCCTCAACACCTGTAGCAGAAGGGAAAACATAAATCCTTGTGCGATAATTCTGACCTGGAGACAATCAAAGAGCTTACCCAGAGCTTCTTTGCTAGCAGCTGTTCCCATGAGACCGGTGAGCGCCTGCGGTAGCCCTTTTTCAACAAACAGCCTTCGCGCAGTCTCTTTCAAGCGCTCTTTCTCTGGCCCACTCATAGGCCCACGCAGGCTTGTAATCTCAGCTTCCGTGGGAAGAGCATTTTCACGAAGTTTCATGAGATACGATCCGATTGCGTCATCAGAAAAATGCGACTTGATAACAGACTCCTGGAACACCTCGCGAATCATCTCCAAATTCGGGTTTCCTGGGCGCAACACGTAAGTCTTGGCGGCATTGAGCAGCCTTCGGCGAATGTCCCAGACTGAGGACAATGTATACAGTTCATTAATCACGGCAAAGATGAGTTCCAGGGCTGTCCGGGCTTCCTCTTGTGTGATAGAATTGCCTTGGATTCTTCTTTCTTGTTCCTCTACTTGAATTGTGCGACAGTCCATTTTATCGCCAGATGCACCCAGCATCTCTGGGCTCAAGGAGCACTCCCCAACGCTTGAAGAATCGACTTCTGGATCCAAGATGATGGAAGCCGGACGGTTCAAATCATTGCCGTCAACTGCGGCTGCTTGAGACCCGCCAGGCGGTATGGTTCCCAACGAGCGGGAAATGTCTGAAGGCTTTCCATCTGCAGAAGATTGTGATGTCATCAAATGGCTTCTATTATCGGATAGCATAGAATGAGCCCAATCACAGGAAACTTCACTGGATTGAGTGACAATAGGGTGCTGGGTCGAAGAACCACACCCGTGCTCATATTGCTGGTCAACAACTGAGGAATAATGATCAGATCTGCTACTTTCAGCGCCGAGGGCAAGCTCTTTGCCGCACCCACTCCCGAATACGCCAGTCATACCTTCAAAAACACGTCCCGGCACGCCCTTAGGCGCGTTGGCAAATACACCGAGAACGCCCTTCCCCATTGCCCCGAGTGTATTCGGAACCGGAAAGGAAAGTCCAATCTTCCTTGACGCAGCGATTGAACCAGTTCCCATGCTACCATCCCTGTTAAGGAAACACTTCATCTTTTCACTTTCGGCGAGTGGTCCATTCTCGAGGGCACAACGAAGATACTGCTCTAGTCTTTTGGCTAGACCTAGTCTGGTCTGGCCTTTCCACGGAGGTAGAGCTGGGAAAAGATCCATGAAATCATGAATTTCGTTCAACTTCGAGATCGTACTCAAGGTATTGTGAAGGGATTCGAAGTCAGCATAATTCCTGAAAACCATCCAGCCGGTAGACCTTGTCAATTGCGGTTCTATTTGAAGCAAAAACTCGCATGTTGGCTTAAACCGAAAGTGTTCACCACCTTCCGAGTCCAGATTTAGATCGATACTCAAAGCGGCATGATGAAACGTCAGATACGGGGATGATGCCGCCTCATCCAAGACTATGTCGCCAGTAGGTGGCGCCGATGATTGAGGGAGAGCTGACGTTTCGCAATTTCCACTTTCCATTGCTTCTAGTGTCATGTGCTCTTCTGCATGTGCGAGTGATGAGTGGCTGTGAAAATCTACACCGAGAGGGGGGCAATTCGTGCCTTCGTTGCTCGTTACAGGAGGAGCTCCGGCACGACCTCGATTTTGTGCGAGGTTTAGAAATTCCTCCCTCTGCGGGGACACAGCCGCACCGCGTTGCTTGAAGGATGCCGCCTCTGTATTTTCAGCTGTTGTCATTTGGCTAGTAGGAGAGTCAGAGTCTCGTAGGGGAGAAGCGTTATCTTCGCATGACTCGAAATTGCAGTCAGACATCGTCATCCGACTGGTATCACTGACTGTCACGTCTTGGCTTTTGGCTTTATCAACACCGAGATCTATGGCCTGCATTATTTGGGATTCACCTTCCCCAAGAAGTTGTACGATCCACGCATTAATGGTCTCTGGCTGTGAGAGAGCTGAGACGACCGAGTCGGACATGATACTGGAAAGTACATCGCGAAGAAACTGTCTCATCAGGGCGCAATCATGGACGTTCGAATCGAGGTATCCCGACAAAATGTCTTCTGCTACCATTTTCATTTTTTGTCGCTGCTGTTCTTTTTGTAGGATATTCGCTAGGTTGCTGGCTGGGTGCAGATCTAGATAGCGTGATATGAACCGCTCGGGTGATTCCGCAAACTCAGCAGCATTGAAGGCAGCAGACAACTCATTCAAGAACACGATCATGAGGGAGCTAAAGTTAATGAGAAGCTCCAGGAAAGTGTCGGCAGGTCGCTTGCGGGAAATATGCAGCCCCAATCTTGTAACAAAGCCGACCAGCACTTCTCGACACGATGTTGTAAATGTCGATTCAGGTGGTAATATTAGCTTGGACCACTGGCTACATGATAGATTTATACTGTGAGCTCGGTATACAATTAAACATATAAGGACTTACTTCACATATTTATTGAGAATCTCATCTCTGATTGACCTTAAGGATGCAGCTGTCTTCGGTCCAAATGAGGAGAAATCAGGTTTAATTGTATGCATGCCCTCATTTTGCCCCTCGCTCTCATCCGCCCGTTGACCATTGCGGTCAGGTTTCCGATCTTCCCAATCAAGTAAAGGACTTGGAAATGCTTGTAATGGTTCGATCTTCTTTGATCGGTTCTTTCTCAATATCCCACTAGTGATTTCATGGGCTGTATTCTCCCAGGAGGAATGCAAGATAAAGCCAGCAAGAGCTCCGATCAGGAGGAAGCCAAACTTTCCTAGAATAAAAGCAGTGGTGATAGTGGCACATGCAACAACACCTAGAAGTACTTCATTACTGGTCGATGCAAGGAATTGAAGAGCCACATCGACAGTGCTTCTCTGGTTTGAGAGAGCGTTGTTGTGAGCTGCTGATGTTCCATCATGATGAAGCAGGGTATGCTTCTGGTGGATGTCTTTGTCTATAGGTGGGCGATGAATGATGTTGGTGTTGTCATCAACCATTGCTATTACGAATAGCAGGATAGGTCAGAATTTAAGTGGGAGGTAGATTCTATACGGGACACATAACAGAATGTGGAGGTCAGTGCTATACTGGATAAAGAGGATATATATTTACAAGTAACTTACTACTCCGTAGTAGGTAAGATAATCGGATATCTCTCGTTCCATGTGTCAGTCAGTACCTGGATATCCATATTAGAGTACTCCATGGAATTGCAAGCCGCCCGTCACGTGCCCACCCACGAGAGTCTATACCACGTCAAAATGGTATAAAATAAACCAATTCTATCACTACTCGTCGCTACGGCGCCGCACCACCTACAGTAAAGGATCGCCTCTATCTTACAAATAATTCTAAATGAAAATTACAAATAAATTTCTTTATATAATAAACAATCACCTAATTCTATTCATTTTTCTACTAAAATAATAGCTGATAATTATAAAATTAAAGAAGCATATTATATAGCTGTTATTTTATTAATCTACTAAAAAATTACAGCCGAAGAAAAAACTAAAATTATCAAAATTATAAAAAACTAGAGGTTGAACTTTTAATATTTTTAAAATCATATTTTAAGTGATTTTATTAATATTTTATTTTTATTTATATATTTTTTAATAATCCCGACCGCGCCTAAATCACTTTACATATAATAAACTTTATTAACTAAAATAAAAATCTTATAAATTTACTATATTTTTATTTAATTTAAATATTTAAATTTAAAGAATATATATATATTAATATTTTTTATCTTAAAAAATTATATTAAATAAAAACTTGTAAATTATTATAGTATAGACTTTGTATATCTATTTATCTGATTAATCTATTCGGTTAATCTATTGTATCTATTTAATCTGTTTAACTTATTTAAGTAATTTTTTAGTAATTTAACTATTTTTATAACTATTTTATATATAATCTATAATTTTTTAAATTCTTCATTTATATCTAATTCTATTATAGCATTTCAAGCTAAATATAATTTATAAATCTAGAAATAATTTTATCTAGTAGCTAGTAGAAAATTGAAAAAAAAATTACAAAAAATTAATCAACTAGAAAGAGTATTAGGAACTACTTGACGCAGTAGACACGCTAGTTAGGCAAGATAAGCAAGATAAAGAAGATAGAAAAATAGCTAAAAGCAGTCTTCTTTCGACTTAGAACTAATTTATAAGAAATCTTCTCCTCTAAAGAATTCTAGGATAATATATTATATAAAAAGAAGAAAATGAGTAGTATAATACTACAGATATTTGGATTAAAAACCCGTCGAATCAGTGTCGACCCAGAAGTAGACTGCTATTATAGTAGATATAGACTACCGTAACAGAAGGTATTATATAACATAGAGCTGTTATTTCTATTATTTAGTCTAACTAAGAACCAGATATCAGCCTGCTTCTTGACACAAATCTGCTTTTAATCAATACTTAGTTTAAAAAAGATTATTATAATCTAATTTATTCTTATTAGATTCTAAATAACTACTAATTATAATATAATATTAAAGTCTATAACTGCTTTTAAAAACATTTTTTGATTTTATATTCTATAATTCTAAAGACTAGTATAAATTATAAAATAATAATTATATAAAAAATCTATTATGATTAAATATATTTTTTAAATCTATTTACTATATATCACTAGTTTTTATCAAGAAACTAATTAAGATAACTACTAATATATGTCTACTGTAGATTAAACTATAACTTTATAAAAACTATTATAAATCTAATATTAGAATATTATAAATAAGATTTATATATTTCTTTTGTTTAGATTTATCTATCTATTTATTATATTTATTATTACTGAAGTTTTATATCTGCTTATTTTTAAAATATTATTAATTTTTCTAGTATTTTATAAATATATTTTTTATAAATAATACTATTTACAAGCGATTTAAATTTTATTACTCTACTATTTTCTAAATATTTTTATTTGTCTGATTCTAATAATGTGGCTGTTACCGACTTCCATTCACTGGAAGCAGCGTTGTTCCTGCCATGTATCGCCTAAAGTAATTTTATATTATTAGTATATACAGTCTACTATATTATTATTTATAGCTGCTTTCTATATCTTTATTTCTACTAATTTAATAACTATTTTTTATATATTAAATTGTTTATATTAATTAGTAGCATGTCCTATATTTTTATTTTTAATATTTAATTTCTTAGTATGTCTAAAAACTTTTATTTTTTTAATATTGTGTTCATATATCTTCTGTTTTATATTTTATAAACAGTCCTGTTTAATATATATAAACAGTCCTGTTTTATATATATAAATAGTTTTAATTTTATTAATTTTTAGGTTTTTAGTAAGCTGTCGGTTATTTTTTTTATTAGTAATATATTTATTTATTCTTATATTCGCCGATACCACGTTCTTACTAGTTAAGAGAAATATTATTAACAGTATTTTTTATTAATACATAGAAAATCGGTTCTAATGTTTTTTATCTAGTTTTATATAATTTTACTTTTTAAATATAACTTTCTTATTCTTTATATTTTCTCTATATTTGTATCTGCCGGATTCTTATTAGTATAGTATTATTTTTATTCTTTTAATATCAAGTTTATTTTATACAGATTATTTGTCTATTTATCTTTCTACATATCTTTATTTTTTTATTAAATTCTTATTAATTATACTCTTTTTTATATTAGTTAAATATTATATTAGTATCTTTTAAACTTAACAATCGTACGGTTTATTTTTCTGTTTAATATTAGAATTTCTTTATATTTATCTACTTAGTATTTTTAACTTCTACTGTTTCTTGTTTTTTTATTTTTTCCGAAAATTTTTATATCGCCTATATTTAAACACAAGCATAAAAAATATTTTAGAAAAAGAAAATATTTAATAGAACTAGTATATTAGATTTAAAACTTTTATTTTTATTTCTAGATATTTTAAATATACCAACTTGACAATAATATTTTTTTATATTAAACTTATATAGCTATATATAGAGTTGCTTCTAACAAACTGTTTATTTTAGTAGCTATTTATATAGAATCTTAATTATTCGGGTCTATAAAAAGAAGTTGTTGAATTTTATTATTTAATCATTGTTTTATTTAAAAACCCGGTTTATATAGTATTTGTATAAAATTACTAAAAAATATATAATTTGCAAGTAGTAGATAGTTTTATTAGCTGTATTTTTTTATATTTTTAACTAGTATTTATTTTAAGCCTGCTGTCTATTAGTATTTCCGAATAAATAACTTTTATATAATTTATTCTAGAACAGTTTAAATTTTTAGATCTAATTATTATATTCTTAAATATACTAGTTATATTTGTTTACCAGATACAAGTCGAGTTGCATAATAAAATAGTGTATAATAAATAATTTAAAGCTATTAAAAATAAAGATATTTTATTTATTACCGGCTTGTCAAAAATTTATTTTTTTCAATATATTAATAATCTATTTAATACTAGCTTTCTTAATATATGATTTTTAATAAATCCTATACCAGTAAATGTCGACTTTTTAAATATTTTTAGTTTTTTTTATTAATTTATTTATTAGTTCTCTGAGTACACCATGCCGAATATCTTAAGATAAATTTTATATATTCATTCTAGCTACATAAGCCGAAATATATTTATTTATAAAAAATATTAATATTTATTTTATTAATATTAATAGATACTTCAATAATAAAAATATTATAAGATAAAATTAAAAATATTTCGGTTTTAATAATTTACTATCTTTTTAAAGTATAAGATATTAAGGAATTGATGATAAACACTTTGAATATTAAAATAATAATAATAAAAAATATTCGGTATGTTAAAATATTAAAGATAATAAATATTTTAGTAGATATTTAGATAAATATTATTTTTATCGGTTTAATAATAATCTAAATAATTTTAATTAAAATAATAATAATAATGATTTTTTTTAAATAATTGTGGGAGTAATTAAGCTAGTAATTATAAAAGTTATTATAATTAATATACTAACTAATATAAAAGATCTTTTTAATGCTAAATCTAATAATAATAAAAATAATTATAGTTTTTTCTTAATATTTCTGAATATTTATTTTCTTAATAGAAAACAGATAAGATTAGCTATTTCTAATCTGATTATTTATTCGATAATCTAATAGTCGGTTATTATAAAAATAAATAAAAAACATACTATTAAGATATATAACTTTTTATTAATTATGTTGATAATAAAATCGATTATAAAAATGAAAACATAACAAAAATAAATATTTAAATATATCTAGTTAATTATATATTATAATAATATTTGTCTAAAGTTACTAATAAAAAATATTTTATTTATATTTGGAGTCTTAGAAATAGATAATTTCAAAAATTATATAATATTTCTATCTAAATATCTACAAAGCTGTTAAATATTTAAATTATGTATTCTTATATACACTAATATTTAAGCTGGTTAATCTATATCTATTTATATAATAAAAAATATTATTTTATATTCGGTCTATTTAAATTACTGATATATATAACTAGTTATATATAATATAAAAATATTTTAATTTTAATCTATATAATAATTCTTCTAAGTCTAAAGAATACATATTTCTATTAACTTTTTTTTAATATTTAAAATATTAAATATTCTAGTAGTAAAATAAGGCTACTAAATATAATAATAAATATAAAGATTATAACAAGCAATATAATAAAAAATATAATAAAAAAAAGATAAAAATAAGTTAATTTAAAACTAATTCTAGACTTTCTAATATAGTTAATATAATAAAAGTCTGAATATTCGGCTTATTTAATTTCAAATCTTAATATTTCTAATAATATTAATTTCTTAAGATCTTAATATTTATAGTAACAGCTATATTAGTAAGATTATTATCCGTAGAATTAACTATTTTTACAATATTAAATATTTTAGTAACAAGCTGTCTAGTTATTTTATTTTTATAAAAATAGATTTTTTATAAACAGT